CTGAAGCCAAGCGGAGTCGTCGGTGATGAACGTGAGCGCGCCGAGACGGATCTCGCGGCCCTCCACCAAAACTCCGCCGAAAACCATGATGATTCGGGTCGGAAAAGATCACAACTCGTCCAACAAAACGCTAAAACACCTGCCCCACTGTGGGCGCCAACTGTCGTGGTTCTAAGTCTAACAGTAGTGTAGGGGGGTAAGTATGGAGAGGCAAGATCTTAGCTATGGAGAAGTTGTAAGCACGCAAGGTTTACGAGTTTAGACCCTTTTCGGAGGAAGTAATAGCCCTACGTCTTGGAGCCCGGAGGCGGTCGACTGGATTATGCGAGTATAAATTACAGAGGTGCGAACCCTTGTATCGGAGGAGGGGGTGGCTTATATAGAGTGCGCTAGGACCCCAGCCAGCCCACGTTACAAAGGGTTCAATGTACATTAAGGCAGGGCGTTACTGGTAACGCTAGTAATAAAGTGCTATGATGGCCATAAAAGCTACTTAATGACCGACCGTTAGCGTGCGGAATGACTTTAGGTCTCCTGGCCGTCGAGTGGTTAGATCTTGGTCGAGTGATTGCTTCTTGGTCGAGTGTCTTCGAGTCTGTCGAGTGGAATACCACCAAGTCGATTGAAAGATGATTTCTTCTAGAGATGTCCTTGGGTAGGGCAGTTAGGACAGGTCCATGACCCTACCCTAGGTACATAGCTTCATCATTAGCCCCCGAATGTATTGAGGTTTGAGTGGGGAAGGGGTTGAGAACTTCTCCGACTCGTTTTTCATGCCGTGAGCATGTCTTGTTTCGGATCAACAGACCTGAGTGATGACAGCAACTTCCTTTTCAGTCGCCTTGATCCATTCTTAATTCTTCGTCGAGTGAGTTTCTTTACTTGTAAGGCTCCGAGTGACGGTGCGGAGGAGATCTTTGGTCTGACAAGTTGTTTGCTGCCCGCAGATTTCGTGGAATCCGAATTTTGGGATGCGCGCGGGACGGGGGAGGCCGCAGTAATCGGATGGGATAGAGCGGAGCCGCCTCGATCCCGCGCCACCTTTTTCGCCACGTATCGCGCGCGCGGTCGTTACGGGATTTGACAGAGCCGCTTGGGCCTACCCGTCAGCCACTCGGAAGCAGCCTCATATAAGGCGTTGGACCGGAGTCCTCCAAATAGTGCGTCCCATTACCTCTTCTCCTCTTCACGCCCCTCCGCTGCGCTCGCCTCCTGGTGCAGCGTGCGCGTTTTTATTTTCTTTTTTACGGGTGCAAAGGCAGTCGATGGAGGAAGAATGTAACAACTGCCTTCTTTTTTGAGACAAATGCTTGTGTTGTTACTTTATTTATGAACCCTGATATCTCCCAAACGTTCCGTCTGCATGCAGGGCTCCTGTATCGAACAAACTGTTAGCTGGGTAGGGTCGATCCATCAAACGAGGGAGCAACTAGTTAACGAGCGCCCTTTTGGGAGCCTCGCAACGATCAGCGCCACTTCACGCGCTCTCAGCCATTTGCCACGTGTCGCACTCTGGACGTTTCCTTCAGTTTTTTTTCCGCACGTGTTTTCGGCTTTTTAAACGCTTTTTTTCCGGGTTTTTTCGACGTTTTGGTTTTTCCCGGTCTTTCTTAGCTTTTCGATCAAAAAAAATAAAAAAAAATTGAACGTAAAAACGCGTTTTCTTTTGTTCCTTTCGCGAAAGTCACGGTTTTTCTTCCACGAGAGTCACGGTTGTACTTTAGCAAGAGTCACGGCCGTGCCTTTCGGAACAGAAAAAAATATGTTTTCTGTTTTTTTCATACGCACACGCAAGATCATGGTGATGCATAGCAACGAGAGGGGAGAGTGTTGTCTACGTACCCTCGTAGACCGTTCGCGGAAGCGTTATATCAACGCGGTTGATGTAGTCGTACGTCTTCATGATCCAACCGATCCAAGTATCGAAAGAACGACACCTCCGAGTTCTGCACATGTTCGGCTCGGTGACGTACTCGCCTTCTCGATCCAGCAAGAGGGGCGAAGTAGTAGATGAGTTCCGGCAGCACGACGGCGTGGTGACGGTGTTGGTAAAGAACAATCTCCGCAGGGCTTCGCCTAAGCACTACGAAAACTAGGACGGAGCATAAACTAGTGGGGACGGGGTTGCCGGCACACGGCTTGGTGTTTCTTGATGTGTCTTGGGTGCTAGCCCTACCCCTCTATTTATATGTTGAGCCTTGGGGTCGAAACTTGGAGTAAAAGCCTCCACAAAGTCGGTTTCATCCGAAAGGTAAGAGTCCTTCTCGGACTCCAGGGCCAGACGCCAGGGTTCCCGGCGTCTGGAGCCAGACGCCAGGGACCCTGGCGTCTGGCCCCTGGACTCCGCAAAACTTCCTTTTGTGCTTTTCCAAAAACCTTGTGGTCTTTCCCCTTTGGCCCAAATAAAGTGTTCTCGTACCCAAACATTTTGGAAAACATCCGGAACCCCTTCCGGTGAATTCCGGAACCCTTCCGGTGACCAAACACTAGTATCCCATATATCAAACTTTATCTCCGGACCATTCCGGAGTTCCTCGTCGTGTGCATGATCTCATCCTGGACTCCGAACAACATTCGGTCACCAACATACATAACTCATAGTACTATATCGTCAACGAACTTTAAGCGTGCGGACCCTACGGGTTCGAGAAGTATGTAGACATGACCGAGACACCTCTCTAGTCAATAACCAATAGCGGAACTTGGATGCCCATATTGGCTCCTACATATTCTACGAAGATCTTTATCGGTCAGAACACATAACAACATGCGTTGTTCCCTTTGTAATGGTATGTTACTTGCCCAAGATTCGATCGTCGGTATCTCAATACCTAGTTCAATCTCGTTACCGGCAAGTCTCTTTACTCATTCCGTAATACATCATTCCGCAACTAACTTATTTAGTTGCATTGCTTGCAAGGCTTAAGTGATGTGTATTACCGAGAGGGCCCAGAGATACCTCTCCGACAATCGGAGTGACAAATCCTAATCTCGAAATACGCCAACCCAACAAGTACCTTTGGAGACACCTGTAGAGCACCTTTATAATCACCCAGTTACGTTGTCACGTTTGGTAGCACACAAAGTGTTCCTCCGGTAAACAGGAGTTGCATAATCTCATAGTCACAGGAACATGTATAAGTTATGAAAAAAGCAATAGCAACAAACTAAACGATCAAGTGCTAAGCTAACGGAATGTGTCAAGTCAATCACATCATTCTCCTAATGATGTGATCCCATTAATCAAATGACAACTCTTTGTCTATGGCTAGGAAACATAACCATCTTTGATCAACGAGCTAGTCAAGTAGAGGCATACTAGTGACACTTTGTTTGTCTATGTATTCACACATGTATCATGTTTCTGGTTAATACAATTCTAGCATGAATAATAAACATTTATCATGATATAAGGAAATAAATAGTAACTTTATTATTGCCTCTAGGGCATATTTCCTTCATAATACACATTGCCTTGTGGTATATGTTTCTACGTCGCCAAAAATATGGCATGTCTTAGCTATACTCTAGTTTATAAAGTTTTTCATGCTTTAATTAATAAAAATTACCATGGTGTTATATTTTAAGTTGCTGTGGTAAAATATGTGGATTAAATCTGCTGGTATTATTTGACGAGTGGGAACGAGGTAGAATTTACTTATGATTTTCAAGAACATTAGCAGAAAAAATGTGGATTAATTTTGTAAGGTATTTTTACTACATACATGAAGATATAAAAAATGTGGACTAAAAATTATAATCACGCAGGACACACAAAAAAGTGTAACATATATTGTTTAATAGTAATGTTTCATATAGAAAACTTTCCATGGTCCCATGAAAGCAAAACCTCCCACGAACAATGAAAGTAAAAATTGTCAGAAGACAACAAATTTAAGGATTTTTTTCTTTGAAAAAGATGGAAAATTTACTAACAAGATTGCATGCTATCAGATTATTTGAGGTACCCCCCCCCCTACCCAAACATGTAAAGAAAGGCAATTTCCATCCTAATGACACATATAATTAACGAATTGTGAAAAAATTATGAAAATTGGTACTATGGCACTGGTTTAGCTCCCCCTCCCCTATCTTTCAAACCTGCAAAACATTTTTTTTGCATACATTGGTTTCCACACATGAATTGTGACTAGATAAATTTTAGTTTCATGTATCATTGCAATCATGGATATTGCAATTTAATAATTTCAGTTTTATATATCTTTGCAATTTTCAGGATGTATCACCTGCAGTGCAATGGGTTCCAAAAAGTGAATATTTTTCATGAGACAGGATAAAATTTTCCATGGGCAATGTACTCAAATCGCAATGTTAAATAAAAGTGAAATTTGCCATGATCCATTAACTAAATTTTCCATGGTCAATTAATGAAATTTCCACAGTCCATAAACTAGATTTGCCAGGGTAGGTTACTAAATTTTCCATGGGTCCATTACTAAATTTGCCTTCAACAATTTTTGCCTTGGTGAATTGGTTATATGGTACCATATGAATTTGCCAACAATATTATTTTTCACACGACAACTTTGCCAACATTGAATATGAATTTGAATATCAGATTTCATGAAAACTAAAATTGTCATGACAAAAATTGGAGACATGCCAATTTCCGTGATCCATAAACTACATTTGCCATGCTCAATGAAATTAAATTGCAATGGTCCCACAAAAAAGTAGTTTTCCATGTTGCAAACAAACAAATTTTCCATGTTGCAAAAAATCTTATCTACTTCATTCTTTTGTGACGGAACATACATAACATTAACAATAGGTACTTGACATTTAAAACTCATACAGATTATTAAGAAATGATGAATATAGCCATCTTACTGAAAGATTTGTTTTTTATAAAAGAACGCTAGAGCCATGCATCTCCATACTTAGTTTTCTGGAGTTAGTAACATATCGCTGGCACTGGCAGTTCTTCACTCTGCCAACAAAAACGATAAACTTTCTGAGCGCGCGCGTAGTATAGTCCATCACATCGGTGGCACTGGAACAGCCTGCTGTAGGGTCTTGCGGTGCAGCACTGCAGGTGCCGGCGGCGTAGTGTTGGGGTGGCGGCGGTATGCCGTACCCTGGCGTCGCGCTGCCTGTGGCGCCGGAGGGCTCTGTCCCTCACGGGTTCCCTCCATATGAACTGCATGCATGCACACCACAAGTTAACCGAGTGTATATGCAGAATATATACATTACATTACTTCTGCGGAGTGAACCAAGTAGTTCTCGCAAAAAAGAAGTTGTTAGTCTAGTAGAACAAATTACCTTGGATGTCAGCTGAGCATGGCAGGGAGCAGGGTATGAGTGTGATGGCCAGGATTGCCATGGCTGGTACCATGGAAGAAGAGGAAGATCTCATCATATGAACACCTTTTTTTCCAAGTAATTCCAATTGGCTCTATGAAAACGGCAGAGAGAAGTTTTGTGTGCAAGACTTGTGCAGCGCAAAGACGTCGCAGGTATAAATATATATACGTAGATATCGGATATTATGTAGTACCTACTCTGAAGAATCGTCTTAATAGAGACAGTTCACTTAATGGCCGGTCAAAGTTCTTGGCGTTTCAAATAAAAGAGTTGTTGTAGCTTATCTGTGGCGTTTCAAATAAAAGAGTTCCAGCAGCTCCGCCACAGTAATTCAATACCCATACTAGTTGCACTATACAAGTATTTGCATTCATGAAGTAGAATATGTACGTTGACATCTTAGATGTCAATTTGCTTGACATCAATGTGCACCTTGAATGCTTCGATGTAGTCACTTGGACAAACGAGCTCGTCGATAAGGTTGCCACGACAGACACAAAGGGTGATGGGTCCTTCAACAACGGGCATGATGTTTATTGAAAATTTTGTTTTTCACATGCCGCCGGCGAGGGCCGCGGTGGCGGCGGGCCCGGCGCCGGAGGCACCTAGGCGGGTGGACGCGGCAAGATCCCATCGGCGGCGGCAGGGGTGGTCCTTCTCGTGGGATCCGAAGGCGGTGGCTGGGGCAGCGATCCCTTGCCGTGGGGAGGTGGCCGAATCGTCATCTACCGGCGGAGCAAAGACCCTGGGATGGATGGCGGCGGTGGCAGTGCCCCATCCGACAGGGTGCCTGATCTACACGAAGATGGTGGCGGCGGCGACTGCGGATCCAACCCCGATCGGATCCGCCGCGGGGCGGCCTTCAGCCGACCGGCGGTGCGTGGAGGGACCGGTGAGGAGACGTCGGATCTCCGCCGGTTATCGAAGTCGGCGTTCGTCTACGTGGCGAGACTCCGCTCGGTTCCAGTCAACCGCGAGATCTGGATGATGTGGCTTCCGGTGAAAATCGCGCCTGATCGTGGTCATGGCGGACGATAGCGGCGTCTCGCACGTCGTTCCCGTCTCAAGGCATCGTTGTTGCAGGCCACGTCAACCTGGTCGGAAGGTTTCGGGGGAAACCATAGATCCGGATATACCGGATCGGACAATGGCGACTTTCGATGTCGTTCTCCTTCCTAGGGGCATCGTTTTGGAACAAGTGTTGGCTGGAGAGGACAAGAGGAGGAGCGCGCGTGGTATCGGACACGTCGACAACGGCGGGTCTCAGCGACATGGAGCAGCGGAGTGTCGCCGGTGGGCGTGTGATGATGGACGAGCGCAGGATGGTGGCGTTGTCTGACATCATGGTGGCGTCGACGGCTGCTAGACCAGGCAAGGTTAATGCAGCAGTACAATACTAAAGTTGGATTGGCGGCAGGTGGCTGCGGCGGCCTCATACCCGGCAGGTGTCCTGGTTGAGAAGTGCGCCGGACTGATGGGTGACCCATAACTGGCAGGCGTCCTGGTTAGGACCTCAGGTCTTAGATGTTAGGTTTGGCTGCGATGTCTGTTTGACATTAGGCCCAGATTTTCAGCGCCCCTTCATTAATTCGATAGGAATAGCGACAGTTGTTGCCTAGACGGTGGCTTTAGTCTTACTGTTGTATGACTTTGTAAAGTCTTGTATGAATAATTAATAATGTGGCCGCATGCATTGCCCAGATGCAGAGGCCGGGGGTCATTCTCCTTTTCTAAAAAAAACATATACATGGCTACTCAATTACAGAAGGCTCAAGGACATTTTCATGGATGTCAACATGAAGCCCAATTGCTACGTCAAGGTATAATCCATTTTATTATTTTTTATCTGCCTCTCTATTCATTCCTTTTCTTTTTTTTCTTTCCCACTACTGTGGAACATGGTTGAAAATCTCGTAGGGGATTTCCCTTGCAGCATGACCTATTTGCTTAGCAATCTGGTGACGCCAGTCGACAATGATGAAATGGCACAGCAATTTAGCCACTGTGTCAGCTACGTTGCAACATCCTGCGCCGCTGGTTCCCATGGCAGGTAACTTGCAACGATTCAAAAGAAGCTGATGGTGACGACGAGGAAATGAAGGAGGAGGATGAGGATGGAGAGGTGGGGAAATAAGGATATGGTGACAATAACAGCGATGATGGCGAGGATCCCGTTGTTGACGCTGGCCAGAATATGCAAGTAATAATCATGAAGGCACCGGGCTTGCCACTTCTGGGCGACGCCAATGATAGCAGAACCACTTTTTTGAGCCAAGAACCATAGAACAATTATTCTTCGGTATTTTCTTTATATTAAATTTAAATATGTGCATACAAAAGAGCACAACGATAGCGAGAGCGTTAACATGGGTGTGCATGATACTTGTATACATACTCCCTGTGTAAAGAAATATAAAATGGTTTGAATCACTAAACTATGATCTAAACGATCTTACATTTATTTACAGAGAAAGTACAATGAAAACTTCCACATGTGATTCGTGCGTAAAAGCCGACGTTTGCAGCAACCTGCAGGTTCTTTCGGTGTGGCACAAGTCTGACCGTCGCCGGCAGCGACGAAGTGGTTCCGCATCCTGGACACCCCGCTGACCTCGTGCCTAAGGCCCATGGCGCTGGAGGACGTTCTCCCTCACGGTTTCCGTCCACAAAAGCTGCATGCACATAAGCCAGCCAAACACATTAGTTCCTTTTTGTTTCTCGTGGAAAAGAGTATGCACGAAACAACAATTCAATGTAGTTAGTTACCTCGGGCTGCCGCCGCCGGCGCCGAGGATGCCATGGAACAGCATACGAGGAGAGCCAGCAAGAGAGCAACGTGGGTGGAAGAGCGCTCCATGATCACGTCCCAGAGCTTCTCAGTGTTTCTCACTACGGCTGGTGCTGCACCGAAGTTTTTGATACCTATGATCTCTTCCTATGTCAGCAGTCAACAAAGATGTTGTGTTTCGAGCAAGTGGTTGTCCACATTCAACCTTTCATTTCTCAAGAAAGTCCATGATATCTTTTTATATCAAAAAGTATTTGTGGATATTGATTGTTTCTTCATATGGTATTAGTATAATGCACTCGCAGTTTGTAATATCCCTAGACCGTACTACGATCATGTGCACTATTCAAGTGAGACCGTGGAATTTCAACAAGCTGGTCTTGCCGGCCTACTAGAGAAATGTTCAAACGTGGGGATCAATAAAAAGCTCAAAATTCCCTAGGGCTGCATTTGGATGTATCAAACTAGATTTCTGAATTTGGAGCTGACGAACGTGTACTTAAGAAGACATATGTACGAAAATTCGTCCGCAAACCGTCCAAACCTCCAGAATAAAGAAGATGTGGTTCAGTACGAGATGATATTCTGTTATCTACGTATTTTAAGTTATCCGTGTGGCAAAACATTACGAAATACACAAATGTCATTTAAACATAACAGATTTACAGTATAGGGTTATTACAGACTTTTTCGGGTATATCAGAAAATAAGCTAAAGACGAGAAGCTGAAAAGAACTGGATGGCTTTGTACTTATTGGCTAATTTTAACGAGACTTGTCAGGACTTATTGTCACTACAGCTTTTGCATAAGCCACGGTTAAAATTAACTGGCACTATGTGTGGCTTCCAGTAGGAGCTGTGTCTGCTGCAACTGCTGGAGGAGTAGGAGGAAGCGGCAACGACGGCGATGGGTTGGGGTCGCACAAGGGGTACCTGCCCCAAGGGCAGCGGTGGTTGCGGCCCCCGTGAGCTGTGGGAGGCCGAGGCGCCCCCAACGTTCTTCCATCTGCAGGAGGTATATCTGCCGGACGGGTTGGAGGAAGCGGCGGTGGCGGGGACGGGTCCTGGTCGCAAGGGTGCTTATTCCTAGGGCAGGCATGTCTACCCCCGTTCGCAATAGGAGCAGGAGGTTTTTGCAACGGCCTTCCACCTGCACACACATAAAGAGATATGCATCGGTTCGCACGTACGTGATACGCACAGTAATACTCCCTCTGTAAACTAATATAAAAACATTTAGATCATTAAAGTAGTGATCTAAACACTCTTATATTAGTTTACGGAGGGAGTATGTATCAATCACAGCAGAAAGTTCGGTGAAGTCATGGCTATTCACTGTCATCCGTCTATGCATGGCTGATTACCTCCCTGGACAAGCTAAACCGGCGCGGCGCACAGGATTAGTGCAGCTGCGACGATCGCCCAGCATCGTGCGGACAAGGAAGATGATGTCGCCGGCTTCAACATAGTTGATGGATCTCTCTGTTTTAATTGTGGACGGATGCTTCATCCTTGCATGTGTCTGTATATATATATACATAGCTTGTTGGTAACCGTAGTGCGTAAGTGACCGTCACTTCCGCATGCAAAAGCTCACATCCGGTCCGCTTACGGGCAGCAAGGACGACTGCACATCAACGAGACGTGTCTTTTCAATAATGCGTGTTTCTTCAAGAAAACCGCGTGAGAGGAAACAAGTGGAGTAATAATTAATGTCCGCGTGCAAACTGCATCTGGATGTGTGACTCTCAGCAAAGAACAACTTCTTCATGTACTTCGGCGGAATTTCTATGTCAAAACACTCTTATATTATGGGATGAAGGGAGTAATAAACAATTCATTTTTTTGAAGTGCGGATTCAACATACCACAGCATTCCAGTGTGATTGTTGACCACGGCATGGCAGTCCAACTGACATGAATGGAATACTTAAATAACACAGAAAAGATTATCGAATTTTGAATTTTCTCTATCTCTAAGAATATTCCTCATTACAAACTCAATATTATCCTATTAATACTGTAATAATATGTGCTTTTATTGCCAATATAGTAATTTCTCATGTATGCTGGTACCATATTCTAGAAAATAAAACTATTGTTGTCTATATATGCGTGTCTACATTTCATCAACGTTGTTGATATATATTAGTTCCATTGATATTATTTTAAAATGAATGCTTTTTTGTTATAACAATCGTATAATACCTCCAACGGCAAAACATCTCATAC